GGTGTTCTTGTGTGGGATCTGGGGATAAAACTCACGTCCTTGTGCCTGCAAGGCAAGCACTTAGCCAACTCCACAATCTCCCCAACTCCTGAAGTCTACATTTAAGAGGACAAAAAGCCGACAGAAGTGGTGGCTTTCTCACAGTACAAAGGATGCAAAACTGAAACACAGTATCATAAACACAGTCATAAATTAAAATGCCAAGATTGCAGCAAGAGTGTACAGCTAACTTGTTTTCTTTTAAGGCGTCTGACTACATTAATATGTTAAGATAGTAAAAAGACAGAAGCAAACCAGGCATGGCCACTCACATCTGCAATTCCCAGCACTCAGAGGGATGGGAGGAGGGGCATGAGTTAGATACAAAAACCAAGAGGAGTTTACAGAGAAGGAAGATAGCAGACTGGAGACTCGGCCCTTTCCTACATCTCCATGAGTCTGAAAAGAAAACATCACGTACATAGCTATAGGGAGAGATGGGCTATGTGGCGCAAGGCAGGAGGAGTACAATAATAAACAGCATAAGTAGACAGACTAGGTGAAATCCTGAAATACTGGATTTGTAAAAGAAACAAAGAACGCTAACATCAGATAACATGGTAGGGAAGGAAGAGACACCGCCCCAGTTAATAAATGTGAGAAGAAAAAGCTTGGCAAATTGAAAGGATACAGTTTCAAGAGAGATGTGTACTCTGTGTAGCAAGAAGCTGTTGAAACCAAGCCCCTATGCTCCCTAGCATGCTCCCTGGAACTGTGTCTTAAGGGTCAAATCTTTTAGCAGGAGTTCCTGAATTTTTATATCTCCAAAGTTCCAAAAGCCTCCCCCTCTCCCCAGGCTAAGTGGCCACCCCAAGGATAAGCACGGGCGCAGGAAGCTGGCTATGACTTTGACACAAATTTGCTGACACTGGTCTACCTGGTGGGAAGTGTGGGTCAAGAGGACAGTGGAATGTGCTTAGTTAGAGCTGGGAACTGGCCTTTCGTCTGGGAAGATCAAATCTAGCTGTGGGTAGACAGAGAAGGGGGTTAGAACAGAGTCTTGCATGGCCAGGCATTCAATACCTGTACTGTGCCTTACCAGGTATATTAGTCACTTTTCTGTTGCTGTGATAGAAACACTGATCCAAGCAATTTGTAGAAGGAAGAGTTTATTTGAGCGTACGGTTCCAGGGGAATTACAGTCCATCATGGCAGGGAGGCATGGTGGCTGGAGGTGGCTGGAGCAGGAGCAACAGAAACTAAGCTCTCACATCATCATGTAGGCACAGTAAGCAAGAGAGTGAATGGAGGTCCAATAAGGCTTAAGAACTCTCTAAGCTCACCCCCAGTGATGTGCTTCCTCCAGGATAGCCACACCTTCTAAAACCTCCCAAAACAGAACCATCATCTGGGGACAAAATGTCCAGATACCTGGAGCCTATGGGGGACATTTTCATTCAAACCATCACACCAGGGAGCTGCTTTCTACAGCCTTAGAGCCCCAGAGACACTTGGTGGGATCATCCTGCTCAGGTGTTCTCCACACCCATGTCCATATTGGCAGAGTGCTGCTGATGGAAGGGTGAACCCTCCACATCAACTGATGGAAACAGTCTGAAGGTGGCTTCTACCCTTGCTTAATCACTCTGTTGACATAAATACATAGAACTCTGGCAGGAACTCAGCCCAGAATCTGTCAGAATAGTACATGCCCCAGTAGGAAAGACATGATAGGGTTCAACCTACTACAGTCCTTTGGATTTACTTTGTTTGGACTTCAGAGAGAAGTCCCCGAAGAATCTAGGCATAGAAGAGGAATACCTTAAGATGATAGGGTCTATGTTCAACAAATGACTATCCACTTTTATACAGAAAAACTGAAAGCATTTCCTTTAAGCTCAGCAGAGACGAGGTATGTACAGTTAACCACTTTATTTACTGTAGTGCTTGAAATTTAGCCAAATCAATAGTACAAGAGAAAGAAAGAAAATGATTCCAACATAAAGGGAGAAGTCAAGCCAGGTGTGGTGGTGCAAGCCTTTAATCCCAGCCCTGGGTAGGCAGAGGCAGGTGGATCTCTATGAGACTGAGGCCAGCCTGATCTTACACCATGAGTTCCAGGCCAGCTGTGGGGCATGGGGGAGGGAAAGAGCTCTGTAATCAAAGAACTGCAGAAACAAATCATAGAATACACTAGAAGATGGAAAGGTCAGCCGTTTTCATAGATTGGCAGAATATTGTCAAAATGGCCATATTACTAAAGCTATGTACAGAGTAAATGCAATCCCTATAAAACTCCAATGACATTCTTCACAGAAATAGAAAAATAGTCTGAAAATTCATATTGAAACACAAAGGGCCTTGTGCTGGATAGCTTTAGTGTCACCTTGACACACCTGGGGTGAGGTAGCCTCAGTTGGGGAATTTCCTTCATTGGACTGGCCTGTGGCCATGTCCATGGGGCATCTTCTTGATTGTTGTGTGATGTGGGAGGGCCCAGCCCACTGTGGGTGATACCAGCCCTGGGTAGGTAGACCTGTGTTGCATAAGAAAGCAGGCTGGGCAGGGGCCAGGGGAGCAAGCTAGTAAGCAGAGTTCCTCCATGGCCTGTGCTCCAGCTCCTGCCTCCAGGTTCCTGCCCTGAGTTCCTACCTTGGGCTCCCTGTTGAACTGTGACCCGGGAGCTATAAGATAAAAATAAACCCTTTCCTCCCCCAGTTGGTATTGGTCAGAATATTTTGTCACAGCAATGGACAAACAAAGTAGGACAGGCCTCTACTAGTCCATGCAATCCTGAATAAAAAGAGTAATACTAGAGGTATAATTGATTTCAAAATACTGGAGGTATACCTCATTATTGACAAAAAAATGCTAAAAACATACACAGGAAAAACTGAACCTCTTGAAATAAGTTATACTTGGTGTCCACATGTAAGAAGACTGAAACTAGATCTTTACTGCTCACCCTGCATAAGATTCAAATTAAAATGGATTAAAGTCCATGTTAGAATTGAAATTTTGAAACTAAAGGAAATTTTACAGGAAATATTTCAAGATCTAGATGCAGGCAGGCAATATATAACTTTCCTTTTTTTTTTTTTTTTTTTTCTTTTTGAGACAGGGTCTCCCTGTAGCTGCAGCTGTCCTGGAATTCTCTATGTAGACCAGGCTGGCCTTGAACTCACAAAGATTCCCCTGCCTCTGCCTCTGGAGTGCTGGGATTAAAGGCATGCACTGCCACGCCTGGCAAAAATATAATTTTCTTAATATAACTCTAACACCTCAAGAAATAATAGCAAGAATTAACAAATGGGATTGCATTAAAATAAAAAGTGGCATTGTAGAAAAAAGAAAAGTGAAGAGACAGAACGGGAGAAAATTTTTACCAGAAAGTCATTAGGCAGAGGACTAATATGCAGAAAGTACTAAAAACAATGAAAAGCCAAGAGTAAATAATACAGTCAGAGCAAATGAATTGAACAGACACTTCTCAAAAGAAGTATAAATAGCTAATAATTAGACAAAAAATATTCAGAGTATGTAGCTACAAGCCAAAACACATTGAGAGTCCATCTTGCCCAAGTCAGAATGGCTATCAGTCAAAGTACAAAAAAGTAACAAATATTGATGAGGACATAAAGGAAAGGTTGCCTGTGCTGTTGGTGAGATGGAATTAGTTCAGCTACTATGGAAATCAGTGAAGATATTTCTTTAAAAGTTAAAAACAAGCTACTGTATTATTCAGCTCTACCATTTTGGGTATATTCCCCAAAGACTCAAAGTAAGTTTTCTGTAGAAGTGCCCACATACCCATTTGTTGCAGCACTATTCACAGAAGCCAAGTTAGGGAGTCAATCCAGGTGCCCATCAATGGCTGGATGGTTAAAAAATGTGGCATGTATAGAAGAGTATTACTCTTCTATAAGAAGAATGAAAATTTACCTCCTATTTATTAACATTTTTATCCGTTTATGCTGTGTGTGTGCATGTGTGTACAAATGTGTGCATGTATTCAGGTAGAAGTCAGAGGACAACATGCAGGAGTCAGTTATCTCCACTATGTAGGTCCTGGGGACCAAATTCAGGTGATCAGACTTGGAAGCAAGTGCCTTTATCTGATGAGTCACCTTGGCCCAAATTATGTCATTTATAGGAAAATGGATGAGGCTGAAGATTTAGATATCCTGTGTATCCATATATAGTACTCAGGAGGAAAGAAAAACAAAGGTAAATGAGAATTATTAGGGATGTAGAAAATAAAAGGGAGAGCTGGAGAGATGACCCAGTGGTTAAGGGCACTGACTGCTCTTGTAGAGGACCTGAATTCAGTTCCCAGCACCCACATGGCTGCCAACAACCATCTGTAACTCCAGTTCCCTCTTCTGACCTCCATGGGCACTGCACGACATAGGTGCACTTACACACATGTAGGCAATACACTCATACACATAAAATAAAATAAAAATAATAAATTAAAAAAAGAAAAGGGGGTAGAGGAATGAGAAAGGGCAAGAAAATGGTGAATCTGACCAAAGAATGTCGTATGCACATATGGAAATGCTTAAATGAAATCCCTTTTAAATAAAAATGAATAAAAAATAAAGTGATATTATTGTTTAAAAACAGAAATCAAAGGAAGGAAGATATAAATGGAAAAATTAATGAAAAGAACAGACAATTTTTTGTTTGTTTTACAGTGCTGCAAGATACACATTTAGGTGTAAAACTCACCAACAAGAAAGACCCTAAGAAGACTAATTAATAGTTGCAAATGGAAGTGAATAAAGGGAGCTTAAGAAATGAAAGAGTATTGTGACCTGTGGAGCACTAATCAGTGGTATAAAAATAATAATTTGTGAAGAAGACAGGCAAAAAGTATTTTTGATGATATCATGCCTAAAACTTTTCCAATTTAAGAATTATAAATCCACAACCCCAAGAAACTTAGTGAACTTAAATTTCTCTGCAAGGCTGTTATTGGACTTCATAAATTGCTTATATTATAATGAACGTTAACATACCTTCTAGTAAACCATTAATCGTTTGGCCCCACCTGGCAAAATAAATGGAGCCACTTCCTGCCCAGGGAAAGCAAATCAGTTTAAAAACTGCACCAGGCCTTTGATATAGGCAGTTCAATACTTCTTCATTCCTAGGAAGAAAATTCAAATATATTTAACATTACATGAGTATATTAAATAAGTGCTCAAAATCGAATTAGGTGTGCTTTTAAAAAAGGTTTATTTTATTTCCTTGTACACTTACGGTGTGTGCCTGCTTGTCTTTGAGTGCACCATACGCACTGCAGTGCTTGCAGAGGCCAGAAGAGAGCATTCAATCCCCTGGCCCTGGAGTCAAGTTGGTGAGCCTCCTGTGGGTGCCAGTAATCAAACCCAGATCCTCTGCAAGCACAGCAAGTTCTCTTGACCTCTAAGCCACATCTCCGGTACTGTATTAGGTGTGTTTTAATGACAATCTTCATTTAACTATAAGGTATATATGTTCAGATATGAAGTGATTGTTTTTTGTTTTGTTTTTTTTTTTCCCAAGGAGAGGCCTCCAAATGTTTAATGGTCTGTGACAATTTGAATGCATAAACTTTTAGGGACATAGGTGGAATATCTTTGCACAACTTTTAGTAAGTGTGTTGTATATATACAACTAAAGTGATATGACTTTTAATTTATACACTTTTTTCATGATTCAGGAAATTGTTTTATCTAAATGGCCCATAGGCGGCTTCCACCTCAGTCTCTTCACCACCAGAACAACTTCTCAAATCATCTAAAAATTTTCCAGAGCATAAAATTTCTTGTTTTTAAATGTCTTTGATAACCAACACTTTTGAATCTGCACATGATAGAAAGTTTATCCCAAGATTCAAGTATCAAATCAACTGATATTAGAAAATTTTCTATTTTAAAAAGCCATCCTATGTGCATGGATTTGTATTCTCTCCAATTTAAACCTTTCCTGTAAAGTTCCAAATTGGTCATTAAATTTCTTACAAAGATATATAATATTCCTAAATGAAAGATCATAAACTATAGTATAATGATTTAAGTCTGTTTTTTGTCTAAAAACAGAACAAATCAGTGTTATCAGTGTTATGGTTTGGATCTTATATATCGCCCCCCAAGACTCATGTGTGAAAGACTTAGTGCCCAGCTCTTGGTGCTATTGGGAACTGGGAAAAACTTAAAGAGGTGGGACCTGTTAGAAGGAAGTGAAGTCATGGGGACATGCCTTGAGGGACTGGATATTGAAGCCTTGACCTTCTCTTTCTCTGTCTCCTCCCTCCCTCTCTCCCTCCCTCCCATCCTCCCCAGGTGCCTTTAACAGAACACCTCTCTCCACCTCATGGTCCCTGACATCCTGCCATGTCTGCTTTTCTACAGGCCCAACAGACAAGGATCCAAGGTTCTGGTTCATGAATCCAAATTCATGAGACAAAATAAACCGTTTTTCTTTTAAGTTCATATCTTATCATTTGATCTTGAAAATTATCCAAAAATAACATAGGTTGAAATCTCTCTGGATACTCTGTATTCTTAAAAGGAGACTTTGTTCTTGGTAATAACTGAGAGAACATCCATAAAGTGAGACACTTAATATGTAGTCATCAGTTAATACATAGTCACTTAATACACAGTCTTTGGGGGAAAGATCATTTTGGAAGAAACATTTTTTGACTTATATCTGGGCACTTTAATTGCTAACTCAAAGATAAAATAAAAAAGAATTAATTTAGTCCCTTTTTCTTTTGAAAATCATCTGTTCTTGTAGATGTGCTTCCATTCACCAGCCCCACCTACAACAAACTCATTGGTAATGGCTGGGGCTGGACAGATGGCTCAGTGGTGAAGAGCACTGGCTGCTCTTGCAGAGGACCTGAGTTCAGGTCCCAGCACCCACATGGCGGCTAACAACTGTCTGTAACTCCAGTTCCAGGGGATTCAATGCCCTTTTCTGGTCTCTACATGCACTGCATGACATAGGGGATATACTTACATACATGCAGGCAAAACCCTTGTACACAGAAAATAAAGATAAAAATAAAAAGAACTTCATGACTATCTACCATCTTCTTGAAAATGCTAAAGTTCTGTTTCATCTAGGAATGGAAATCCTCCATAGAGTCTACCCTCAACTTAGTTAAAAACAAAAATTTACAAAATTAAGTGCCAAAGTCTGACCCTCAGTTGCAAAGTAAAACCATAATTTGTGGGTTGTCAGTCAGGGAAGAGCCTACCTTTAATTTGTTTAACTCAGTGTCATTCTCCAGAGTCCACCATGATGGGGCACCAACACCATATAGTGTACGCATGGCCAAGCTCTTGCGAGAAGGTAGAGCTGATGGCTGGTGCCCTATGTGGCTAAGCCTAGACAGTAAGACTATTTTTGCCCTGGGGTTCTGCCTGTTACCCGCCCCCATTCCAACTCTTCTTTTCACCTTAAAGAAATAATCAAAGGCCATCAATAACTGAACACACCTTCTCTTTTTCTTCTTCCTATTTTTGATTTAAATGATCTACAATTTTAGGGTTGAGAGTATCCAGAGACATTGTTTAATCCTCTAGTATAAGGAACTGATCAGGGCTGCAGAAACAAGACTCAGATTCAAATCCTAGGTACAATGGCCTCACTGTAGAATGAGGACAGTAATCTGTGTTCTGTGCTAGCTGTGATGTCAAAAGCCCTGAAAGTGTTCGGCATGGTTTTAGGCACTCACTGAAGAAAGCAAATGTCTATTATGACTTTTTTGACAGCTTTTTCAGAGATATTAAGTCAGAATTAGAGCCAAAGTCCTGTTCTTTTGAAAGGTATTTGTCTATTTAACCTTTTCCTTCTACTCTCAGTGTCAATGCCACTTAAGTGGCAGGACGTAGAGAACGTTATCTGAGAAGCCTTGAATTAAAGTTGGGCAAGAATGTGTTCTTTAGCTGATGTTCTTCCAATTCATACAACTGTTTCAGCCAAGACAACTTCACTTTCAGAACTCCACTAAGAGGCTGACAAGATGGCTCAGTGGGTAAATGCACTTGCTGCCAAACCTGATGACTTGAGTTTGTCCCCAGGAACCCCATGGTGGAAGGAGAGAATCAACTTTTGCAGGTTTACCTCTGACTTCCACACATGCACTGAGGCACATAAATACATAAATAATAAATAAGTAAATGAAAAAATAACACTACCAAGTTAGTTACATTTTATTCAGCAAGTAGTTGGTGCCATTTACAACATTTAGCAATAGTGGAATCAATTTCTGTGATAAGCTTCTTTCAATTTTCAATCTAAAAGGGCAGTTTGACAAAGGCAAGGTGCTGGAGTACCAAGGATGAAAAGAGAGCCAGAGTTTCCAGGAGTAGCCTACCTGGGACTCCGAGTGAGGTCTCTTGTCTCCATGCTGTAAATGATGCAAAATTGTTGCTCTCAGCAACCTGTTGTGTCAATGCTCAATTCAATTCTTCTTTGGGAATAAAGCTCCAATAAACTTTGTGCACACAGCAGAGAGATTTAGATTCCTTTTAAATAGGATAGTTATGATAATTATTCCCTTAAAAAAAGGGGGGGGGCGGGGAGCATTAATTCCAGCAGGAGGCAGACACAGGCAGATCTCCAGCCTGATCTACAGAGTAAATTCCAAGCCAGCTGGTGCTACAGGGAGACCCTGTCTCAAAAAACCCACAAAACCAAGCAACAACAAAAAGTGGTAGAGAAGAGGAGAAGGAGGAGGAAGAGAAGGAGGAGGAAGAGGAAGAAGAGAGGAGGCAAGATGAAAAAGAAAAGGGTAAGGGGGAGGAAAGAAAGGGAGACCAGAACAGCGACATAATACATGATCCAAAGCAAGGAGAAGGCTGTCTCTAGTAGGTGACCAATCAATGCATACATACTGGCTTTTTAGATAATATTCATAATGACCAAAATGCAGCTATTCCAAAATATCCTCACTAAATAATCCTGAAGATCCATAACCAGAAAACTCTTGTACCTATTAGCAAATTAGACCAGATATATTTGTTTTGGAAATAGATGTCTTAGCTTTCTGGGTATTTAATAGTTTTGATCTTTTAAATATTAAGAAAGAAGGGTTCTTTTTTAAAAAGTTGGTGAGGGGGTTCATGACTATAACAGGTACTTAAAAACTACTTTTGCTAAAAAGGCTTGAGTCCATGGTCTACAAGGTCACTAAAAGCAAGATAAAAAGCCTGACACCTCTGCTTCCTTTTGTGTCTCCTTTACTGTGGATCAGACTCCTGCCTGACTATATAGGCATGTTCATCATTCAAAAGAGTGTCCATCTACAATCTGATGGTGACTAATCTACCTCATTTTTCCTCAAGACTGAAGACATCAAGATTAAAGTCATTGTCTGCAACTCCAGTCACCTTGGGTTTCAAGATTAGCAAAGCCTCACAGGACAGGATGCCCACCAAGTGAGGGCAGTTTACTCTGATGAGGATGCACTTTAGAGCAGGTGCAGTCCTCTCAAGGGAGCCAGGTTGCACTTGTGAAAGAAAAGTTCCCCAAAAGAACTGTACTTTGGACTGCTTCCTGCAAGGCTGACCAACTGATTATCACTCCAGAGACTGTGGAGAGTTTGGAATGCTGCAGGTCCAGAGTCTAATTACCATTTATTTCGGGCCATCTTTAGCCCCCTAAACAGCCACTTACCCACCTCTGTTTCTGATCTAACATCCTGTGACTAACAGGTAAAAATGTTTTAGACAGTATTAACTTAGCAGACCACCAGGTCTCACCAAACCAAAAACTAAGAATGTCATCAGATAACATCTGAGACCTATAGTAAGAACCCTCCTGCTTTGCCGTGACCTGCCTACTGAATGTATCCTCCAATGTATTTGAAAAGTGTCTTGATTTATGACTTTTCTTTGTTCTGTTCCTATAAAAATGTAAGGCAACTGTTACCATGCTGGAACATGGAATTTGGGGAAACCTGAATCTGTGTTCCTGGGCCATGGTCACTCATATTTGGCTCCACAATAAATTATTATCTCTTATCCCCTTTGATACAAGAGTTATGCTTTTGCATAAAAGATGGTAGGGATTATGGCTCCTTGGAACTATCTGGAAGAATCAGAACTGAGACAGACAGATCATATATACCTTGTTTGGACATACTTCATTATGCATACCTCCTGCCCCAATTCTTCCTTTGTTTAAACCTACAACTCAGTATCAGTACCCTGAAGATGGCCTTGGGGGTCCTGGACCCCTTTATTCCTCTTTTCAGTGTGCCATGTTAACGAAATCCCCTACTCTGCTTTTTACCTTCGCTCACCTTTTTAATTGGCAGAGGGATGGCAGAGCCCAACTTGTCCAGGCTGCTGAAACTGGGGGTCTGACCCGAAAAACAATAACACAAGCATATCAAATTTCTAATCTTGCAAGCTTCAAACATTCAGAAAAGAAAAAGTCATTAACAAAAGAGCTGTAATTTATAAAGGTTTTTTAATCCACTTACCACTTAGGAGCTCCTAGAAGCCCCAGCGGTCATTTTAAGGCCATGATTTACTTCACAGACTCACTTGGGAATCTCAGGAGTCTTCCAGAGAGTCAAGGCTTGCTTGTTCCTCAGCTCTGCAGGGTAGACGACTGCGCTGAAGGAATGGAAAGCCTGGCTTAAGTAGAAGAAAGCTCACCTAGGGAGTGTCAGTGTTCAGATCCACAGCAACCCCGCCCCCTTCCCAAGAGGACCTGTGGGTTCCGAGCACAGCAGCCTTTCCCTTCTTTCTCGAAAGGGGGCAGGTTTTAACAGTGCCCCCCAAATCTTTAAAAAATATCTTCTCCACCTTCTGCATCCCCCAAAGCCTCCCCATAAAAGACCCCATATCACCACCCATGGGTGGACATTTTTCCCTCCCCCAGAAAGGGAACTTGTCCCTGCGAAATAAAACTCTATCATGCTGAGAGTTTGTGTCTTGGTGCTTTCTCCTGATCAACATGATTCATCCATTGGCTTCTTCATCTACCAGGGAGGAGAATTAACCTTTTATTCCTAATAACAATGATTCAGAGACATCCCAAATCCTCAAAGGACTCATCTTGTTAACTCACTAGGTAGTCCTTGATCCCCTGTAATCCCAGGAGCTCGGGGGAGTTTGAGGTGAGTCTGAGCTAGAAAGAAAGACCATGTCTCAAAATAAAAGCTAAAACCCAAGCAAAATGGTATATAATGCAGACAAACCGGTCTGGAGAGTGATAGGGTTCAGATCCAGGCAACCCCAGACCCAGAAACCATAAAACCCCTAAGAAGAACTGAGCCAACCAGCTCCCAGCCACCTGCAAGTAAACAAAAGCAGCCCCTGGGGAATTTAATGACCCAATGTATTGTGATCACCAGAGCATGCTTTCACAGGCTACAAACAGGTTTCCAAAGCCCTTAGCTGCAATTAGTTCCTGGAATACTGTAATTGTAGAAAACATGCTTTACAGTAGATGTTCTCCTCGATAAGTTTCACCAGGTACAGTCCCCATGCCCTCCCTGAGCAAGCAGCCCCCCCCAAAAAAACGGCCCGAAACAGCAGAAAAAATTCTCTTTTTCCGTATTCTGTCCCTTTATAAGCTACCCTTCCGCAGCCGTTAGGCTGCTGGTTCTTCCTCATGCCCGAGTTGAGGACCAGCCCCGCCAAACCCATTAATCTTTCACTTTGCCAGAGTCCTCTTCGTTTCTGTTTCACAGCGATCCTGACCCCTGCCACTTTATGTGACAGAGAGATGGCTCAGCAGTTCAGAATACTGGACCTGGGTTTTATTCCTAGTACCCACATGACAGCCAAAAACCATCTGTAATTCCAGCTCCAGGGGATCTGACCCCCTCTTCTGACCAACGAGAGGACACTACCCAACAAGGATGCACCTGCACACATGCAGGCATTACACTCATACACATAAAATCAAAATAATAAATAAAAAATGTATTTTTAAAAAGAGTGCAGACAAAGGTGACTGCTTCTAAGGAAACTGGGCAAGCAGAGATGGGGCCACACACACACACACATGCACACACACAATATTTTGTGTGTAACCAAAGGTGGGTGTTGATGCCTACAAAGCCTCAGTAAAGTTGAAAAGGCTTAATTTTCTTCATTGTATTTGTGCTGGATAACTTTAGTATCAACTTGACACACCTGGGTTGAGGGAGCCTCAATTGGTGAATTACCTTCATTGGACTGGCCTGTGGCCATGTCCATGGGGCATCTTCTTGATTGTTGAGTGATGTGGGAGGGCCCAGCCCACTGTGGGTGGTGCCACCCCTGGGCAGGTGGGCCTGTGTTGCATAAGAAAGCAGGCTGAGCAGGAGCCAGGGAAGCAAGCCTGTCAGCAGTGTTTGTCCATAGCCTGTGCTCCAGCTCCTGTCTCCAGGTTCCTGCCCTGAGTTCCTTGGGCTCCCTGATGAACTGTGACCTAGGAGATGTAAGCTGAATAAACCCTTTCCTCCCTAAGTTGGAAACTGTCAGTGTTTTGTCACAACAGTGAAGAAACAAAGACAGTATTCTTTTTGACTTGAAACACCCTGGGGTAAGTATATCAGAGCAGATTCAAATTTATTGTTCAACAAATGTTTTCTTAAAGTTAGTTGAGAGTAATAACACACAACTTTAATCTCAGCACTCACTGAGAAGGCAGAGGCAGGTGAATCTCTGTGAGTTTGAGATCAGCCTGGTCTATATAGTGAGCTCTAGGCCAGCCCAGGATGACATAGTGAGACCCTGCCTCAAAAAAAGTATTAAAGTCAAAATAGTCTGCATGATATTTCATTGCCAGGATCCACAGGTAAAATAAAGACTCTTTCCTTAAGGAAAAACCATTAGAAGCGTTTATCTGACTGGAGTAACAGAGGAAGGAGATGGCACAGGCAATATTCAAGAAGCAACGGCTCAAACTTTACCAGAACTGGTATGTGACACCAGTCTGAAACTGAATGAAACAATTCCATCAGATTTCCAAGAAAAAATAGATTATGAAGACAGAAATCTCCATACCAATATATCACAATAAAACTACAAAACAACAGATAGTAATGAAGGAGCCAGAGAAGCCAGAGGAGCCAGAGGAAACAGAGGAGCCAGTGAATAAGAGGAAGAACAGAATATTAACTTGGAAGGAACAGCAGTTAGATTGATGGCAACGTAGATCTTTAACCAAAACAAGAAACTACGTGTCTGTGTGTGTGTGTATGTATGTAGCATAGTGTCTGGGCCTTAAAATGACCTTAAATGGCCTTAAAATAATATAACATGACCAGTGGAGATTCAAGAAGCTCCTAGGGAGTTAAGTGAATTAAAAAAAAAAAAACCTTTATAAATTACAGATCTTTTGACAATGATTTATATTCTCTTTTCTGAATGTTTGAAGCTTGCAAGATTAGAAATTAGATATGCTAGTGTTACCAGAGGTTTTAGGGCCCAATCCCAAGTTTCAGCAGCCCAGGGCCTTGAAAATGTAAGTGCTCTACCCATGAGCTATGTAGCTCAGACAACTTAGAATTCTCATACCCAGGGAAAATGCCTTTTGAAAAACAAGACAGCTGGTAGGCTTGCTCTGCTCCACGGATGACCCTACACCCATGCACATATGGGCAGCACTAAATGAACTTGGTGGATTATCAAAAAAAAAAAAAAAAATGAAGTTAGGAGGGGGCATGTTGGGGGATACATGGGAGGAATTAGAAGGGGGAAATGACAGGTAGCTATTATCATAGTTCATTGTATACTTGTATAAAGTTCTCAAGAATAAAGAAAAAAATTAGCAGGGCACAGTGAGACTCATTTAATCCCAGTACTCTGGAGGAAGAGGTAGGCAGAGCTCTGTGAGATTGAGAACAGCCTGGTCTACATAGTGAATTCCAGCTGGGGCTACAGGGAGACCCTGTCTCCAAAACAAAGAAAAAAAAAGAAAAAGAAAAAATTTAAAAATAAGCACATGTAAGCATTAGCTATGTAAAATAATATGTTATTTATAACATGATTTATGATTTTATTAATAGTTGGAAATAAATTGTAAAATATTGAAAAGTGACTGCAAATGCCATAAAATAGAACCTCAGAGGGGAAAAATTTTAAATTACATTTATTAATTGAAAAATAAATAAATACAAAACAAAAGCAAGACATTAAAACATTTTCAGATCTGTAAAAATATAGGTTGTCACCAGGTTGTTAATGGAATGCTTTTGTTAGAAAGCAAATTAACCCATACAGAAGATATAAAATACACAAAGGAACGAAATCACAAACTGTGGCAAACAATTGAGCAAATATAGGCACTGATTACATAAGACAGCACAGTAATTCTAATGTCTAGTGAATCTTAAATATGTAATTAAAATACCAGACCATGAGGCTGGAGAGATGACTCAGTGGTTAAGAGTACTGATCATTCTTTCAGAGGACCTGGGTTTGGTTCCCAGCACCCACATGGCGGCTAACAACCATCTGTAACTCCAGTTCCAGCGGACCAATGTCCTCTTCTGGCCTCGATAGGCATTGCATGCATGTGGTGCACTTACATACATGCAAGCAAAACACTCATACACATAAAATAAAATAAGATAAAATAAAATAAAAAATATCAGACCAAAAAATTGTCAGGAGTAAAAAGAGCTTTTAAAATTTAAAATTTGATAATTTTTCATGTTTTAACTTCTAAGATAAGTCCTTAAACAACAAAAGACTTGAAAAGAAAAAATGTTTAGTCATGAAGAAAAGCTAGGAGAAATTTGAGAAAGGAACCCAGAGCAGATAAAGAAAAAACACACTACAAGAGAGCAGATTTAAATTCAGAAATGATATTATAAATGAATAGACCAAATTCTTCAGTTATAATTCAAAATATCAGATTTGACTAACAAAATAATATAAGAACTTGGAAGATGGCTCAGTTGGTAATGTGCTTGCCGTGCAAACATGAGGACCTGAGTTCAGTCTGTAGAACCCACGTAAAGAAGCTGGGCATGGTGGTGGGTGCTCTTAATCTAGGACTAGGGTATCAGTGACAGGGGAGTCCCTAAGGGTTTCCCAGTCAACCAGCCTCACTCAATCAATGAGCTCTAGACCAATGACAGGCCATGTTTCAAAAAACAAGGAGAAGTGGTCAACTGCTGAAGAATGACACCTGAGATTGTCCTCAGCGTGCATCTACACACACACACACACACACACACACACACACACACACACACGGAATCCAACTGTGTGTGAAACATATTCGAGAAAACATTGCTCTTATGACTTTGAAGCTATTTCAAAGATAAAATATCCATCTGCCAAGTTTTTCTATTATCCCTGAATAAATGAAATCCTAAAAGATGTCCAGCTACTGGCTAGCTGGAAGAGGGTCTCAGAATGGGGTTCCCTGAAAAACAAGTAAGGAAAAAGTAAAAACCAATACCACAGCCCAGAGGAGAAAAAAGTCAACAGATTAGGAAAGTGAAAGTAGTTAAATGTGATCAGAGAGCAGAAGACAGTAAGCAAGTTGGAAAAGAAAAAAAAAAAAGAAAGGAAAGAAAGAAAGGAAATAGGAGACAGGTTCCAAATAGCCACTCCAGAAA